AGCCTCCTCCAGCATCTACCATTTGGTCCCTCGGATCGTCGCATTCAGGCAGTGCAGCTGGCGTGCTCTGTATCTTGTCGGGCCCACCAGCTATTCTCCCTCCCGGGCCGGCCTTCATACCATATCCAATATACCTGCTACGCCGCTACCCCCCATATGGACCATCACTCCCGTCCTACGTAAGGACATGCTTGCCTTGAGCCGCCACCATCGCAGCCCCTGGCCACGTCGTTGACTGCAAGCATACGGTACCGTAAGTGACGTAGGACTTAACCGCAGCCCTATCCACCTGAGGCTAACCCTCCAAGCTGCAACCGAGGACACCCAACCTGTCTGAACACGGCGTATTGGGCACAGTCCCCGCAGCACTTAGCAGTCCATGATGCCGCCTCTCCCTCTCCAATCACGGCATTCAACGGCCTAAAAATGATGCAAACGAGAAGACTCTGAGTGCCCTGACTTGGCCGGTTCCCGATCCATCATTCGCCTCTGCTTGATGGCCTCTGCACTCTCCTCCTCCCCTTCCTCCAACTGTGGCATCTCCGGCCAAGATGTACCTCAAAAGCCCTCGACCGAAGCAAGCCGACCCACCCCCCCACTCACGTCCATTAGCACCAATGATATAGTCTACTCCATGTCGCCAGTACTCCTGTATAGAGGACATCTCCTTGCAGTCCGAACCTGTACCCTTGTATTCGGGATTCGCTCCAACCTAACGTAAGCCGTCCACACAACGACAGAGGAGGCGATAGGATGAGACCTCTCCAGTGTCCTCATCAGCTGTATAGTAGTCTGCAGGGACCAGCGAGGTTGCGTGGTTGATCCTCGCTATCTGAGCCCGGAGGAGCTCCCTCTCCCGCCCTGAGTCAGTGCACTATCCACATTGGAAAGCCACTCCACAAGGTACCACAGAAGGGAGGCCACGTGACAACAGGAGCCTCCAAGTCACCAGTGAAGACCTTCTTCACCAACCTCGCCACAGCGATCTGTTCTGGAAGTACGTGAGGCAGCGGCTCCCACTTCAGGCCACTGTCGCTGCTCACGAAGTACCTCCACAGAGACCATAACCAGCATCACGCGCCGCTAAATTACGAATAGCAGTTCGGCCCTCCGAGCCTCCCAGGAGCGTCTGCCCCTGCCGCTTCCTCCTCCTCCGTCAACGCCGCTCCTCCTCCATCCATCTCAGCCTCAGCGATGTAGTAATCACACGATGGACTATTACACAGCACCTAAGCCCGACCGCCGCCGCATCGACGCCCCACTAGGCCTTGCATCACCTTCCCCCAGAACCGTGCTTTAGTGATGCCCTCTGTACTGGTCACTAACCTCCTCAATCCACAACCAATCACCACCGCCTCTTCCGGAGGTATACCCATACCCGCACAACTGAAGCCGCATCCAAGCCTTCACACCCCCACTGAAGGCCGCCTCCCACTTGAAGATCCTCTGCTCCGCCACTACGTCCGCCAGACCTGGTGCTTCCATCTTCGGGTTGCCATCCTCATCGACAGGGGCCGCCAACTACAGCAAGGATGCCAGCCTCTGCTACCTACCCCACACTCACCAGCTCCTTCGTGACGCGGAGGCTGCCTTCCAAAGGAGGCCCCTCTGGACCCTCCTGCGCCTCTCCCTAAACAACCATAACAACTACACAGCATATGTGGCCGCTGCACGCCGCACCTGTGAGGGGAGGCAACCCCCCTTGCGTACCGCCCTACTGATGTCTTCAAACGCCTCGAGTGGGTCGGCCGGCTGCATGACCGTCATCGCCTCGATCACCTTCGCCAGATGAGCCCTCACTGTAGTCTCCGAGGCCTACAACACGAGTCACGACCGATGTAGTGGGGCCTCCCTACATCCTTCTTATCGAGAACGGCCTCTACTTCTTGCTGATGGGCAGTAGGAGTAGATACAACCATGGAAGAATAAGGGAAAGCTTACACGAGCCCTTGAGGGTCCCTCGGAAAGGCCACGCAGCAAAAGGCGTTCCCAGGAGTACCGGCTTTAAGACCTACCCATGCACAACAACGCCCATCACGGCGACCTAGCGATTCAGGGAAACACAACAGCATCACTAAAGAGAAGCTAACAACGACATATGAGCACCAGTAACCATGCTAGCATCACTCAAAAGACCCGGTGCCTCCCTTGGCGTATGTACCTGATGCTGGTCTATACCTCTAACAATACCGACACCTATAAAACTACCAGCTTGCCACTTATCCAGGACCCTTCGATCAGGCAAGCGTTCAACCATCGGCGGCGGCGGTAGTTGCTCCCTCGATGGCTTCCTCCTACCCTTCTGAAGGGAACCTGAGGGCCATCTGCCTCGCCTGTTGTCTGGGTGAGCGCGGGCCCACTTCTCCCAACAGATACCCGACCCCTCCCTCTACCACCACGTCGTCGATTCGCCGAGGATGTCGATGACAAACTCCTCCGACGATCCAAAATCGACAAGTCACCAGGGCCGCCGATTCCGATGGGCACCTGAGCCTACCTAAGACCCCCTCCTCCTAAAGACCCCACTTTATTCCCCACTGCCCGATCATCCTCGTCAACCTTTAGCTCCTCAAGAATACCCCCAATCACCTCCTCTTCCCCCTCACCAGACCCCAGCCGGCTGCTTTCGGCATCAGGAGCTGATACAAACACACTCACGAGGAGGCGTGCCACGCTAAAAGGTCACTAATAATACCCTAGTTCAACTAAACATACACTGACTTATCTACCATAACTCTCAGCCCCTACTCCCCGCCTCACCCTCCCGATATGTACCCTTAGTAGGTGTGTCTCCTTTGCCCCTATCGCTAGCGGTGGGTACAAGTCTGGCACTAGGCTCAGGACGGCACGCTTTCTGGTCACCGATCCTGACCTTCAACCTTATCTGCTTACCCGAACGGACTTCAATACAACCATCTGATCACTAGTCGTGACAACTGCTCCTCCCACTGCCCTCCTCTCTACCAGCTGTATGTGCAGTCTGCGTCACACCGTCCATCGACCTCAACTGCGACTCCAACATGTTCAACGCTCCTCTCGATAAGTGGTTCTCTCCCAAGTCCAGGTACTTTAGGTACGGCAACTCTTGCAGTAGGGTGAGCAGCGTTGTCATTGCTGAGGAAACTGCACAGCCCGCGGCTCCTGATCGTCCAGCTACTCACAACTGTCATCGAGGAGGTTCTTGTTCAAATGCAAGCCATTGACACTCTCTATCACACCATAGGCCCTCACCAACCCCAGGACCTGTTGAGGCAAGAGCATCGACCAGCCTAGGCCGAGGCGAGCATCCTCCCTCAGAGCCCTACATCCTGAAAATCGTGGTCTTGCAAGAGAAGGCCGGTGAGGACCAACTCCGATGCCGTTGTTGTAGCTTCCACTTGATTCTGACAAGATGACCGAATACTGATGATAACGCAGCAGCCTTTCCCACCTGGAGCACCCTCCCAACTAGCTGGCTCTTGTAGGAAGCCATCACGTTCTTCTTACCGGACAGGTCCAGATTCAATTGTCGCATGTTGGCCACAAGGGAATTCGACTTAGCCAAATCACCAAGGCATCTGACCAACACAATACCCTCGCCTCCTCCACCACCATCCTCCTGATCCGACCACCCGTCCGCAGTCTTCTGTTCATAATGCAACAACTCAAGTAACTGGGCCATCTTTTCTATCAGCATGGGCACAGGGTTCCGCTGCTGCTGCGCCTCGTATAAGAAGGGGTTCATCTGAAAGAGCGTGAGTCTAACCACTGGCTACTGACAGAAGGCTAGGGCAAAATACTCGGGGAGGAGCTATTCTCGTGCCATGGCTAGCAGTAACGCTCCGACACTGCTGTATGGCAACGTAGAAACATATCCGCATGACTAACTACATGTGCTGGTGATAATATGAAAATTCTGAGGAAATTTCCGGAATTTCTTGTTAGTTTCTGGGCACTTGTACCCGAGTTCGTATATAAACTCCTATAGTAAGTGAGGAAACTCCCAAGTTCAGCTGAGGAAAGGAAACATAGATTCCAACACTGCTAGATGGTCAGGCTTTATCAGTACAACAGTGTGAACTCGAGAGTCCTACTTGCTACTCACAAGAGCCACCACCCCCTCCTCCCACCTACCTGCAACCTGTCCACCAAAGTGCTATCACTGCTGTGTATCAATATTGGACGCTGCCTACCGCTTTCATCAAGGCCCTCTTCCCTCCTTATAAATGCCAACTCATTCTTCAATTGCTATCACCATCACCTCAACAAGTCTACCACCACATCCCCCATCCCAGCACCCACCGCAACCCTCGCCCTATGCTCGCTATTAGCTGCGTTGCCCATCGCTATTCGGCTCCTCAGCTTCGAACAAGTAGCTGTTACCTCCTTGCAGGACTCCTCTACAGCATCCAACTCTCCTGAGCATACCCATTCCTGCCCATACCATAACACCCTCCTAACCTCTGTACACTTCTATCTCCTCTTCCTCCCCTTCCATACGGCTCATCAAAGTAGCATTCTGAAGACGTACCTCCACCAACGAGCCCTTACACCCCAAGCCACCTTTCCCTGCACTGCAGTTATCTCCGCCACAAGGCCCCTCATCTCCTCCTGCTTCCCCTCAACATCCTTTTGGGCCTTCATTATACCCTCCTCGAGTTTCTTGTTCTTCCTTTTTATAGCTTCTACCTCGGAATTCACCGTCCTAAATCAAGATCCCTCCCCCCACATCACAGCACCTTTCACTTCATCTCAGCCTCGACAGCCTCTCTAGAGGCTATCTCCATGTTAATCTTCGCAGTGAGATTTTGACAAGTCTTTTCCAGGTTCTTCACTCTCTTTTCCTGTGAGGTATCTTCCGCTTCTACCTTCTTATACTCAACCTAAGAGAGTACCACTCCTCCGTCAAATCACGATGACCATCGACAGA